TTTATTGTAAAACTTGATAAATAAAACTCATTTTGGATATAGTTCTGATTGTAAAAGAAATCATATGACTAGAATTTCAGCCGGGCCCTGCCAAAATAATAGCTAAGATTTTTTTAGACAGATTATTTTTATTATATAAAATTCATACAATAAAGATATTTTTTTTCGTATTTCTAGATATATAAAGTATAATAAAAAAATGATAGAATAACAGGATATTTCAAGGGAGTAAAGGCATGAAAGAACATGTCTGCTCGAAAGCTTGCCGAGCCCTAGCTCATATACTGGCAGTTCCTTCCCTATTACTCTAGATTATTATTTAAGCTATTATCTAAACTACGAGCAATTTCTTTACTATTTACCCATCTCATAATTGACATCACTGTACTAAATTTTGGACCTCCTACACCATAATAAAAGTTTTTTACAGTTTCTTTCCCAATCTTTTCTCTAGTAAGTTCACGAATTTCACATCTCACAGTTTCAAATGCATAATCCATGATATCCCATGCTTCCTTATTTGAGTCAAAAACTCGTTTAAAATGGTTCCTATTTTCATCGAGAGATGATATACTAGAATTTTCAGAAGAAGAGCTGTTACCACTCTCATGTGATTTATTTGAAGCTCCAGATTGGCTGACTACACTCAACTGATCAAAATTGATCTGAAGTCTTTGGGGAATTGCATAACATTGAATCATTTCATTTCAGAGAGCTTCAATAGAGGTCTTGACCAAAGTGAATTCAGATGAAATGTTACCAAAATCATTATAGCAAGCTTCTTCGATATTATCAAGTCTCGTGGTCATATTATTGATCATCGGTAAAATTTTCTGAGCCTCAGATGAGTAGCCAGCATCACGTGAATTGATTTTTTTGATTTCTGTGGTAAGTTTACCATTAAGTTCAGTATTGATTCTGCCGAACCCTGCATTAACTTCTTCATTAAGAGTCTTATTAAGTTCATTGTTGATTCTACTAAGCTCAGCATCAGCTTTATTATTGATTCTGTCGAGCTCTGCAGTGAGAGAAGACTTAATTTCAGATACACGTGAGGCAATTTCATTGGCAATTTTAGTATCATACACAGAGAGCTCATTGGTTATTTCAATGAAGATCTTTTTGATTTCTGAAGTAGTACTTCCATCACATGCAGGAAGATTATTGGAGAATTGGTTTCTGATGACATAAATCAAGAAAAATACGCTAAGAATTAAAACTGTGGAATCTTCAAAAATAGGTCACAAGGTGCTGTTTTGCAAGA